AACAGAAAAGGAACAGGAAAGGAACAGAAAAGGAACAGAAAAGGAACAGAAAAGGAACAGAAAAGGAACAGGAAAGGAACAGAAAAGGAACAGAAGAAAAACATATCTTTTCGGTGAGAGCTGCACCACGCTATGCGCTACACGCTCTGTCCCCTACCCCCACCTGACATCTCCGCAGAGTGTATAAATACCTACCTCCAGTATGTACAGCACTTATTTATATAAATATAAAATAAATATAATATATATAATACATATCTCTGTAGGATGTATGTAAACAGAATAAACAACTATGTATAAATAAGTATACCTTTGGTGTTCGTTTTATACACTTAAGTAACACATGCCGAGTCCACTGATTCTCCTTCTGTTTTTTTTTTTTTTTTTTAACATTCTCTCCAAATGTATATGTAATACTGTAGTGCGGATTTTTTTTTTTTTTTCCTTCACTTATATGCATATATAAATTTCACCTGTTGGTTTTTTATACCCCCTTCAAAAAAAAAAAAAAAAAAAAATCAGCCAAATTAGCAAAATCAGCAAAATCAGCAAAATCAGCAAAATCAGCAAAATTAGCAAAATTAGCAAAATTGACATAATTAATAAATTAGCCATATTACAAATTGAACAAAATTAACAAACTAGCAAATTAACACATTAAACAACTTCGCCATATTCACCAAAGAAGGCGCCAAAAAATTTCCAAAAAATTGAACAAGCGGAACAGCATTATTTTATTTATACAATATTATATACATATGTTAGTACAGTACATAAAAGCGCAAAAAAACACAAAAAGTAAAATTCACCAACAGGCAAAAAAACTCCTTATTATGTACGAAAAGTTGATAAGTAAAAGTAGCCATTTACGCGTTTTTAAAGGTTTTTAACCAAGTTGCGCAATTTTAGGAATTTAAGCCGTTTAACAAGTTTAAAAAAGTTATAAGCCAAAATGTACACGAATTAGTCATATATTCATATTATACCATTTATACATAAATAAGAAAGTACACGCATGTTTACATATATAAATGTATGTATTACTTTGCTTGGATATTTTTTTTACAAATATCTGCCTTCTCTTCAATCACGAAAAAAAAAAAAAAAAACCTTTTGGCCAATTAAGTAAGTGAAAAAGGAACAAAGGGGAACTGGCAAAAAAGAGCTGTGCCAATTGCGTCATCTCTTCCGTTTTCCCAATTCGCCCGCGTCACCTATGTCTGCCATGTGTACATTCCACAAACAGTGCGACATCCCGTAGCTGCGCCAGAACGGCAAATACATTTGCGTTCGTGCAGCTGCGTATATATGCGTGTAGAGAGTATTCTCTGGCGAGAGTCAAATTACTTGCAGCGGTGGCTAACTACATATATGTCTTTAACCACCACCACCCCAAACCACTTCTTAACTGGTGAAAACGGGAGAAAATGATTATTTTTTCAAAGTACCCATACTGTGATATCTTTTTTTTTTTTCCAAATGTGTAGCACCATCTGGCCCACTCCCTCGCTAACCCCCCTCCACATTTGTGCCGCCCCTTTTCTTTGCAGAGGCTGAACGGTGAACCGCAAGATTAGACACAGCGCGGGAAGAAGCAAATAGAATAAATCAAAACAAAAAATATATTTAAACCCAACGCATAGGCTGATTTGCGATTGGACACCCCTACACATACGCGCACAAGTATCTTCCTTTGAGTGAGGCTCAAAGGTTTATCCACCCAAGTTGAGCACGATTAAATTTGGTTCAACCCAGGCAGCTGAGCAATTTGGCCAAGTCGCCTCCAAGGACTGAACAAATCCGAACTGAATCGAGCAGATCAATTTAACGCATCGCGGAGCAGCACAAAGTAAGTCGACGCAGGTGTACAGAGGCGCACAGCAGCTAAGCCATCATGTGGAGGTGATCACTAGGAGATACTGACACGTAGAGCTCACTTGGACAGGGTGCGCCGAAAGTTCCCCATACTAACAGCCCCCTTTTGTTACTTTATGTAACTTTGAAGAGGGCCAAAGAAAAAAAAAAGAGCGACGAGATTTGCAGCAATTATGCCCCTGCCCTGAGAAGATAAAGAAGCACGTTGAGAAGGTGACTGCCAGGCTTCTATACTTTCCGGTTGTCGCATAGTCACCGCGCTTGTATGGCTTCATTTCCCCCACCGCTTCTTACATTTTCGCGCCTCCCCTCCCCATAGTAGGTAATAAAAAAACCCAAAAGTTCACAAAATCAAATGGTAACAACTCCTGACATGTTATGGTTGGTCATCGCGAGTGGTGTAGCATGTTTTTTTATGGCATTTGTGACAGGAGCAAATGATATAGCGAACACATTTAGCACCTCTATTGGATCCAAAGCAATAACGATTAAGAAAGCTTTGATAATTGCCTTCTTCTTTGAGGCATTAGGAGCTTCCTTACTTGGTGGAACAGTCACAGATTCTATACGATCAAAAATAATAAACTTTGAAGCATTTTACGATGGACCTGAATTTCTGATGTTGGGGATGTTTTGCGCCCTCATGGGTGCAAGCACGTGGCTAGCTATAGCCACGTGTCTAGGGTTGCCTGTATCGACAACGCACAGTATAGTAGGAGCCTTGTTAGGCTTTGGACTGGCAACAGGCCACAGTAAGTCTATTAAATGGGAGAAAATACACAGCATAGTGATATCATGGTTTGCAGCCCCCATTTTGGCAGGAAGTTGTTCAGCAATAGCCTTTACCCTATTACGGCATTTAATATTGAGGAGGAGAAATTCATTTCAGATAATTAAAAGATCGTATTGGTTCCTCATTTTTCTGATTACCCTACCGTTTAGTGTCTTCTTAGTGTTTCATAACCCCATAGTGTTAAATATGGAGTGTCGAATGAAAAGGGACAAAGAGATCGTCACTGAAAAGCCATGTTATATTCAAGATTGGAGTGCAGCCAATTCTTTCCACTCCACGGTGGCTTCTCTGATCATTTCAACCCTCCTCACATGCATTGCATCTTTGATTATCTACGTAATATATAACAAGAGATTGAAAGATTACACTTTTCAGAAAAATTTATTCGGAGATGACTTGATGAATGATTTGGAGAAAAATGTCAAGGACGCGAATAGCAAGACGATTTGTAACGTCAACAATAGTAGCCTCAATTCGGTCGCTTCGAATGAGACGCAAGTTACCCAACAGAAGGGGGTTAGCGGAGCAACAGGAGCGGCGACAACCGCTGCGACAGCGGCGACTGTTGGAGGGGGAAACTCCGCTGGCTCTGGATTGCACTGTGAAAAGAGGAAAAACCAAGGTGAACAGAATTATCAAACGGTTATTAATATGAAAAATATGGACGGGAGGAGGGAAATTCTGGAGAAGAAAAGTGGAAATTTAGGGAAGGCTGGCAGTGGCAACGACAGTGGCAGTAGTAATATAGCCCAGACGGTCATCGAAAAATTTGACCATGAGACAGAGATCGTTTTTTCGTCGCTTCAGATCATTAGTGCCATTTTAGGGGTAGTGGCTCAGAGTGCAAACGACACGGCTAATGCTATAGGTCCCTTTGCCGCAGTTTTTAACACGTACAATAATGGCATTAAGGGGAAGCTAAAAGTGCAGTGGTACATTCTTCTGTTTGGAGGTTTGTCCATGTCCCTTGGTCTGTCCGTGCTAGGTTATCGAGTCATCAAGACGGTGGGAATGAAGTTAATTAAAATTACTCCGTCGAGAGGTTTCACCATTGAACTTATTTCCGGGTTGGTGGTCCTATTTTTTAGTATCTGCGGTATACCGCTTAGTTCCACCCATTGTGCAGTGTCTAGTGTTATTGGTCTGGGCCTCGTAGAGGCAAAGATATCGGAAGAAAATAATTCCAACGGTGGAGCCAACAACCAGGGGATGAAGCTACCGGGCAAGGAAAAATCCCAAGGGGATAAGAATGCAAATTTGCCTGTAAAGAAGAACAGCTTGTTTTGCCTCTTCTCGTTTTTGAACACCTCTTGCGTGAATTTGAAGCTCTTTAGGACAATTTTTCTTTCCTGGATCATCACGGTGTCTTTTTCGGGTGAGCCATCTGGGAGGGGCGACATTCGCAGCCTTCAGTGGAGCGATATTTGAAGCGTCATTTTGACACACCATTTTTAACGCTAACTTTATTTGTTCGCCTATTTATTCATTTTTTATTTTTTTTTCTTTTTTTTCTTTCCCCCACAGCGAGCGTAACCGCAGCGATATTCTCCTTTGCAGCCTACAGCCCGTCGTACTTTACAAAGCCGCCCGTAGTAGTTCCCGTATAGCTGGGCTTCCCCTTTTTCCTTTTTTTTTTTTTAAGAAGGGTACGCTTCTTGTATGAGTTTATCCAACAACTCCGTGTGTACGACTTTTTCGTGCTGGTATATCGTGCCAGTTTATCTTTCGAGTGTAGCCTACGAGTGCATCCGTTTAGTTTGGCCGCCGAGTTTACCCCCTTATTTATGTTGCTATGTAGTATATCCCCCTTTTACCCCGCGATTATAATTTGTACCATTGTATATATACCTGTATACCCACTGCGTGCACACACATACACACAAAGGTTTCTCTTTTGCATACATGCGTATAGTTAATAAGTATATAAAAATGGAACCCCCCTCTTCCCCCTACTTTTTACCTTCCCCCTTTTTTTTTTTGTTAACCCATTTTGAATTCAAAATACACCTTTCCCCCTTTTTTCTTTATTTCCAATTTCTCTCCCCCCCATACCACGCCATGTAGCTTCTTTAAATCCGCACTCCATTTTAATTAACGTCAAGTGTATGTGCCCGTCTTAGGGGTACATCGACAAGCATATGCGTGCCTCCTGTGTGTACGTTTGGCCACGTACCTGTTGTATGTGTGTTTTTTGTGTCGATTATTTGGTTAACGCGTTCTAGGTATAAATATAATGTATATATATCTGTGCGCGATCTTCTTGCCATATTTTTGCCTTATTTTTACATTATTCATGAAAGCCGAGAGAGACACCTGTTATATATCCAACCGATTCACTCCACGCAGCTGCACCATATTCCCCGTGCTTTGGCCTACCCAGGAATCTGCACCCTGCCACTGTTGCCCGTCCTTCCGCCCATTTGCATATCCGCCCCTTTCATACTCATCCGTGTCGTTCCGTGTACCCATATACATCGTCTCCACCTCACAGATTACACGCTACACGCATCACTGTTACATAGCACCTTCACAGACGCTTCCATGCACACCTCCACACGCACCTCATCATGGTAGCACTATTGCATCCCCACTCTGCCCCTTCATGAAGGCTTTTCATTAGGAACTCTCAAAAAATTTTGTTTATTTATTTATTACACCTTTTAACCTTATTTGTAACGTGCACATGTACGAGTGTACCCTTGCACATAGCTTCGCATCACCCTGTGTGTACTTCTTTGTATCTGCACGAGCGTCTGCCGAACGAGGAGTGTTCCGCATTACATGGTTTAAATTTGTACCTTTAATTAAATATACTTATTGATATAGGAGTGGGGGACAGAGATATTTAAAAGTGCGTTTTTTTTTTTTTTTTCGGAGGCGATGTGTGAGCGCCTTCTGAACGTTTACAATAAGCCCCCTTTTTTTTCTGAGTTTGGAACTTCTATCAATATAGCTATTACCGGAGTCATATGACATTCCGAAAGTGTTGCATCCCCCCCACCCCTACGTGTTCGCGCGTGTGTCTCGTGGATGCATATGCCTATGCCCATGTACTACTGATGTACGTGCTTGTGTGTACTGCGTTTTTTGGTACGCGTACATATGTGTTCGCCGCTGTACTTTCTTATATGGTGGATAATCTCTACATAGCGGTCAGTGTTTTTTTT